AGTAACGACCTGGCGACAGGAAGCAACTGTGCTTCAGACAGTTCAGGCGTTGAGACTGCAAGGTTGAACTCATTAGATTTTGATGCGTGCAGAGTTGCAGCTTGTACGCACTCACTAAAAACGTTGTTTAGCCATTAACTCCGAGACTTCCAAGCAATATGGACAAACGTTTCACAATCACATTGGTCATGATTTCAATACATGGATGTAAAGGGGGCGGAGGATCACGACCACGAGGAGGTGGTTTCTAGTCAATCAAAGAACATTTTACTCCTGGTCGGTTTCTTAAGCCTTTCCTCAGAGCGTCTCTGAAACCACCGTTAATTGTGGTCGGAGAGACACATGAATGACGGACACGGTGTGTACCTTCTGTCAGGGTCCTGCCAGGGCCTTCCTCACGCCGGGCGGTCAAAGGCTCGGGGATCGGCCGGGCTCTGGAAGGTCAGACCACACTTTTTTGTTGTCCACCTTCCAGTGGTGGAAGTGGCGCTGGCCTTGTGGTAGACCAGATCTTTCTTTAGAAAACACTTCCAGAATCACCTGAAGAAAAAACAACATCAGACCAAACGGGGCCCATGTTAGGTTTTGTTGGCGCCCAGGAAACGTACCGGTTAAAGGAGTTTGATGCTTTTTGTTTTCAAGAGATATAAATAAAGTTGTTATTTCATTGCAATGCAGGTCAAGTGTTTACATCATTTAACCACAGTTCTTATCTGATTACATTGAGTTTTAAGTTTAAAAATATAGGTTGCTGAAATCACGGTTGGAAACAGGGCCTGGTGAACTTCTGTCAGGGGGGGGGGGGGGGTATTGGCATGAGCTGATGAACAGACCACAAAGAGCCCGTTGACGTTCAAAGTCATCTCTTCATCCACACGGACCGCGGCTGATCCGACCTGCTGTGTCTTTTGATGCCGCTTCTCCGTGTAGAGAAGGGTTCGCGTTCCCAGCAGCTCACTCGGCAGCAGCTCTGCACACGCCCACTCTGCTCAGCAGCCGTCCCTTGCCGCCAGCCAGCTCGCCGGCTCGCAGTCGTTCCCTGGTCATCACCACCGCTTTACGGCGCACTTAATGTAGCTGTCCACTGCAGGAGAGAAGCAATAGCATCGCGGTAGCCGGGCGTGACCGGCTGTATTTACTCCACAGATATTTTCTGGACACCAGTGAAAACTCTTCAACTCTTCAATCGACAAGTTTATGCCACCATGGACCCTGACCCCTGCACCCCTGACCCATGTTCGTTCACTATTTTTTGCGCGACAAAACCTTCCACCAGTCACCGTCCAGGTTTCATCTATATTCTTAAACACGTTGTGTGTATGTAGAGATGAGACAGTTGTGTCTGTGGACCAGCAGGCCTGCGATATCGAGGTACTTGCAGGACCCCGCGTCCGTCGTGACGACGTTCCCCAGCCCGTAACCACTTCACCATGGTAGGCGCGGGAGGGTGTTGTGGCTCTTCTCCTGCACTGGAAACTGCTGCTCCCTCGAGGGATGAAGGTAGGAATTTGACCTGTCGTAGTCGGTCGCTGACTTTTTTCATGGAAGGCGCGTAAACGTGGAGCTTGAGCGAAGCTCGTCTTAGTTGGGTTGTGGGTGGAGAAGACAGAACGAAAGAGGATTTGTATCCTAGGGTTGGCTTCCATCTGCGTTTCTTTTGTTAAATGAGAGCGTGTTGCCCCTGACCTGGACTCTTCTCCAACCAACACTTTCCCCTTTGCTTCCTGTCATCATACTACACACACTAGATGTCGCTAGCCAAAAAACCTTATGATGTATCTAGCTGCTTCATCTTTTGCCTCTGGATGTCTGCTCGCAGCATCAGGATGCTGATGACAAGACGGCTGGACCTACAAAGATGTTTGAGAAACCCAGCAGTCAGACACGACCGAGTGTGCCGTGGTGGTGCGGTCCAATCAGAATGGTGGAGCGAGCTGATGACTCATAAGTCTAAATTAGGGTACCGTACGCCTCCTCCTCTCCTCCCTCTATGCAGCGACTCAGTGTTCTTACTCACTGAACGAGTTGCCAGGTGGCAATGCAACATTAACTCACCTGTGACAACACACATACAATCTACACCACACCACTCAGACACTCCTCTCTCTCTCTCGCTGTTTTCCCTACTATCTCTTCACATCCTGCTTTCCAACGTCATCAGTGAAATACCTAATCGCGTCCCTTGGCGACAGGTCTGGTGGAGCGTGTGCTGCCACGCAACGCCACATCCTTGACGGCCGGGAGAGAGCGGAAACACGCCTGCCTAGTCTCTCTCTCACACACACATACACACACACACACACCACTCTCACACTGCTTCCCTCCACTTGTGGATTCAGCCTGCCTGTCAAACAGATTGTTCTTATGTGTGTCTCTGTGTGTGTGTGGTGTGGTGTCGTGTGTGGTGTTGTGTGTGTGCGTGTGTGTCGGGTGTATGTGTGTGTGTGTGTGTGTGGTCTGTGTGTGTGTCTGTGTGTATGTTGTGTGTGTGTGTGTGGTGTGTGTCTGGTGTGTGTGTGTCACTGCACACCTGCCGGCAAATGCAGTGATGACT